GTGTGTGTGTGTGTGTGTGTGTGTGTGTGTGTGTGTGTGTGTGTGTGTGTTCAATCTACTGTTTTCAAATCATTGTTGAGTATTTGTCTTACTATACTTTCTGAGATCACTTATGTGTCAAAGGAGCAATACCGAAGTCGAAATAACAGTGCCCGAGGAACGGGGACTCCACTTTATCGGCATGCCTCTGATGACTACGCTTTTGGGTGTAGCTTCACAGCTGGAATCTTCGGAATTACCAAAGCTGCGCAAGGTACGCACCCCTCAGCGGTATCCATCGTCGTGTTGCGGAAATAAAGGTCGATCGTGGGAAAAGTGTTTGCAAGCAGCAACAAACTTGATCCTGCGTAGGATACAAGCTAAGAAGAGTAGTAGCTGCTGACGATAGACTACATCGTCATCATTTGCCATGTTACTCACATCATTAACGCTTGCGAAAAGAATCCGAAATTACTCCGACTTCACATGTGAGAAGGTCAGCGTGCAGTTTTGTAACAAAGCTTTATGATGAGTGAGCACAGAGCAAGTCATCTTACAATTGGACTGGTTGTACGGGAAGGCAGCTACAGTTGCGGGAAACGATGTGGGTGACCGGGCTCAGGCGTCAAAGATTGTTAGTTCGCGAGCTCAGCGTAAGTCTCAGATCACCCCGGTTAGATCGTCGCATGGTTATCCACTGATGCGACGAGCTCCAGGGCAAGGTGGTCGTACCCCGGTTTAGTAGCCAATCACGCAAGGCTGGGGAAAATAGAGAGACTTTCGCTTCGTTCAAAAAGTCAAATCGGTACTTTGTTGGAAAAGAAATTTCTAAATTGCACTTACGAAAAATTTTGGATCCCCCCTGGCAATTTCGAAAACTTGTTTTGAAGAAGATAACTCTTCGAATCTTTCCTGTTTCTGATTTCTCTTAGAGGCTACGAACGTCTCCACATGACCATACTCTCTGAGGTCCTGACGTAGCTGGAAAAGTTCTATATTTAGCTTGTAAGAAAGCATTTGCAAATTGATTTGAGCATAAGGTTTTCGATCGTAGTCTTCAACAAGCTTCGAAAATGATTTCATGAACCACAGCGTTATGATGGATGTGGGGAAAATCGACCAGAAGTATACTATTTCTGAATGGAACTCTTTGTTTGTATCAACAGTATGTAAACACCTAAGCTAGTCAAAATTCACCGTCAACAATCTCTTTGATTACTGTTAGATTTTCTCTAGAACTCAGTCTTTCATCAATATAAACTGAGAGTGTTCTTCACACTAAGAATTTTCAAGTGGTCACATATTCCCAGTACGCGGTATATTCTTCCGCTTCTCTTTCCTGTGGAGCGATATTTACTTACGTTGAGCTCTGCTCAGAATGCCCTCGATATTGAACTTCTCGGAATGAAAAAGGTGACTTTGAAAAGTGAAATTTTGCTAACTTTTTTGAGTAAATCTGCGGCTTCGTTGAGGTCCGAGGGTGGTTCTTCCAACAGCATGATTATCATTTTGAACCGGTGAGGTTCTTCCTGCAAATAAGGAAATCCGAATAATTTTGTGAAGCGGAATACTACTTGTAGCATTCCTAAAGTGTTGGCCATTATAGCGCACATATAAACAGAAGATAATTTTTGGGTACTTTTTTCCTTATTCCATACACTTCAGAAGTAGTAATTCAGCATCCACACTAGCTTTGTATGAGCAAATTCGAAAAAATGCGTCAGATGCGCATTATACCTACTGCCCAACACAAGGCAGGGAGGACCCCATTTGATTACTTGTATCAAAGACGGTGACATTCGTTCGGCTGATGCAGCCCTCGAAGTCTATCATGCCTGCGCTGCAGTTCCTAGTTCGAAACCCGACCAATGTTTTCTGGAGACTGGTCTCAGTAGACGTTCAGAAGACTGGACGTTACATCATTTTTGAGGATTTTGTCTGATTTTCTTTCGAATGTCTGCAAGGACCAGGCCATCCTTCCCTCTGCGCTAGTTTCAGTGCGCTTTCAAGAAACAACTTTTCAAGACCGATCGTCGCCTCAGTTTCCTTATCTCGCAAGTACCCTTACCAAAAATACAGAACCTCCGAGCTAGAGCTGAAGCATAAATTACTTATGCCAGCTGCAGATATTAAAAAAACTCTTTTCACTTCTCCCACAGCGAGGAAGGCCCGTCTAGCTGTGGAACTATTCCTAAGCCTAGTTAACAGAGGAGAGGATAGGCCAATTGTTTCATAGCTGCAGCTAAGACAATAAAAAGATGATATCGGCATCTAGCTTGAAGAGATTGGCTGACTATTTATCAATGACCAACTCTGCTTACTTCGTCAGCGAGAATTCATGCCAAACTGAGTTCTTCTGGAGCCTCTGCGAAATGTCCAACGTGAAACAACTCAAAGGTACGGTTCGCGATAATTCAATGGGCGGGTATGTCAATGACGTGTCCGCCTCTCATTCGATGTCACGTCTGACTGTCTGACGTGACATCGAGTGAGAGGCGGACATGTCGTTGATATCGCGCCCATTGAATTATCGCGGACCGCGCCTTTAAAGATAAAGCCAGCAGATTCTCAGTTTGTAGCTATCCAATTTGCCTTCAGGGTATCCACGAACAGGCTTGGTAATATAAACATCGAGGCTTTATTTCATCGCGGGTCATAGGGTCCATCATTACCTAGCTATGTATGGAGCTGTACACTGTACCCTGGTATGTATTTCAATTATACGAGCAATGGTGGATCCTGAAATTTGGTTATTTGATGTGAATTTGTCTTAGTGCATCTGGAGAATTTTCGCTTCACAGTGTGAGCAGTGAAACTGAGTGAAGGGATACCGGAATCTTAAGTCAATTCCTGCGTTTATTCCACCTTCATTTGTCATGCTCAGATGAGCTATGAGCCCAATGTAATGAAATGATGACAACTAAGTTTCTCCTAAAAAGTTCTAGTCTTTGAACTAACTACCGAACAGAAAGGTGAATAGGTCAAAAATGGGAAGCAGGGCTCAGAAAATAGAAAAAAAAGAAAAACGTAATAAAAGGTTGCTAACAGTAGGAATGAACCATAGTTAGGCAGATCGAAAATATAGAAAATAAAGGACCTGAAATCATCAAGGGTAATTCTGTGTTGGTAATTAGAATTGATAAAGTGTAGTAGAGTGGATAATAGAGCCCAAGTATGGAATTTGAGATTTTGGAATCAGTTGGGAGTTACTAGGTCAAATGAATGGCACAAGAAAACCTTTGGAGAATGGGCTACTCAACCACTGTGATAAAGTTTATGGTACCATCAAGCTCGACAAATTTCAAGGTTCGTGTCATGACATATGTGCACACTATAGTAAACTCACAACTATCTTTGTGTATGCTGTCTCGAGGGCGCCTCGCAACTTAGCTGGCGTGCCTGAGCCCGATTCCCAATGTGCATCTCTCACTCCATAGCTGAAAAGGAATAACTTTATCGATACAAAAGGCACAGAAAACTCATGTTTTTAAGTAAACGTACTCCTCATCGTTGAATTTCAGGAGGACATCCAGTTCCCCTTTGAAAAACTTCTTCGAGTCAAGAGTTAATCCATTCTTTCGTATTTGCATTAGTCTGACATGTGAATAGAAAACCGCAAGCGGGATTTTGAAGTATGTAAAAAGCTGCGTAACCTGAAGAGGATAAATTCAGTTATTGAAATTTTTTCAATCGAAATAATTCAGAGTTTCCTCTGTACTCTGCTACGAATTCAGCTACCATCCAGGAAAGAAGCATGTATCAGTCGTCTGCGGTAATGGACACTTTTTTCTTATTGTTGCAAACCTTCACTCCTTCGTTCTTCAGGTCTTTCTAACTCTTTGTCGAGATCAAAAATTTTAGCTGCTGCCGAAAAGTAGAGCAAGGAGTCTCGCACAACTTTTGAAAATTCGTTGTATGTACAATTAACATATGGAAATTGAAAAGTAGTTTCCAGCAGGGCCAAAACCGCAGGTCACTTATTACTCGAAGAAACTATGATCGACAGTAGTACTATTTATATTTGGTTAGCTGACAACTTGGCCATTTCTTTCCCAAGGAATTCATTAGATATCATTGAGGGCTTTTATGATTCTGCAGACCTCCAATTACAGTAAGGAATACTAAAATACTTTGACTACCATGGTTGTACTTCATCTACTATTCAGCCATTCCTCTCCGCAATGATTTGTAGCTTACAGAGAACGGATAGATTCTGCGACAGTTGCCAGTATCGTCACTGTTTTGCTAGTTTTCCAAAGCATTGGTGCTTTGCACAGGGCAGGTGCCGCGTGAAGATTCTGGCCAGGATTATGACGATATTTGGTGGGAGACTCCTCATATGTTCTAGTTTAAATCCATCAATTTTGAACGTCGTCTCTTCATCGTCTTTATGTGATGGCATATCGAATTTCGAGAAAGAGAACAACCACATAGCCGTCCTACTTGAAAAGGCATTAGAGATGCAGGTAGACGCAGCTATCAAATAGACCCGAGTAGAAGTCGTAGATGACCACCTCGTCTTGCCCTTCTAGATGAATTGATGTTCCTGTCAGGACGACGAAGATGGGTGAAGCTGGGGCGAGCACTTCGAATGCTCTTCCCGGTCTCGGCAGTTTGACTAAAAACCGTTTCTCTCCTATTCTTGTTCCTTCAGCGCTACTCTGCAAAGCTTCGGACACCTCAGTAAGCCTATTGCTCGTGCGATTTCATGCTGAAGTATGAGCTCGAGAGTCTCAAAAGAGATAATCCGAGTACTATCGCAAATATTTTCAACATGTACATCCTTCATTAATGTTGTTGGTAGCCGAAAAGGGTTGGCAACATACAACGACCCTAGTAAAGCCTTAAAGCCGACCCTAGTGAACTCCAATTCAGAGCCTTGAAACATTGATTGAGGAAAAAAATGAAGAAGTGTCGGAAATCTTGATTTTTTAAATTCCATTGACCTGAAGTTAAGTAGAAACCAACGTGGACATGACAGACGTATAGAAGAAACGTAGTTTCTTCGTATTATGCGATATTATGCGTGCCAAAACGAAGTAAATAATAGAAATCGAATTAGAAGAACAAGGAGGGAAGTATATTGCCATCTTAAAAATGTTGTGTTAACGACTGGATATTCACAGCGATATTTCTCTAGATACTCCTCCTCTAGAAGTATATAGAAGAAATTTTTGACGGATGGATGGGGCGTGATTAGAGTTGTTCGAAAGTGGCAACGAGAAATACTACTCATTACCGTGTTTAGTTCTGTAAGCATGAATGCCGGTGGCTGGCCGAATACTCCGACTTTGCACGAAGAGTGAGTCTAACTTTAACACACAAACCTGACGAACTTCTCTCCATGATGAGGAGCTGTGGTCCAATATTATAACAACATCAAATTGTCGATCACGAGTGCAGTCCAAGCACAGTGTTCCCTGGAACAGCCGTAAATCTAAATCAAAGAAAAGTTCATAGCTAGAAAACATGAATGGGAACTTGCAACTTTCTACAGTAGTTATTGCAACCTAATTTTTCAAGCAGTTCGCTTATCCGATTAAGTAAACAGCAATTCGAGAAATGGCCGGAATTCATGTATTATGCGCACTCTTTGTGCTCCTGTATACATCAGAATCGGTTACGTTATTGATAAACGAATAATTTCCTTTTCCATGGAGTGAGAGTTTTGCTGAGAGTGGAAAATTTAGGCAGTGATTGGAAAAAGGTTAAGAGCGGTTTCTCAGATCAGACTAAAGTGGGCTTTTTGGAAGGGGCTTCACTTCAGTATAATCCGAAAAACCGCTCTTCACTCTCAACAACACACAAAGCTGTGGAGATGTTGAAAAGTAGAATGCTGCCATCTTCTAGCAGCTGTTGAGAACAGAATTCACGATAGTCTCGCGTAAAGTGAACATACATACATACATACATACATACATACATACATACATACATACATACATACATACATACATAACACGTATACAATTTGTTCTTGGCAATACTGGCGTTGAAATAAAGATGGAGTTCCTCTTCGTTTTTCACTCATACCTCTATCCACTCCTCTACAGATATGTATATAAGACATCCCTGTCAGCAAGCGCGACACAGCAAAGACTATATGCTATGCTCTATACATTAAAGATAAAGGAAGAATAAAGTAGCTCCTAATTCAAGGATATTGTACTTGGGTAAGATCAAAAAATAGAAAATTACGTCGCCATTGAACATTACCGGAGCATAATTGTTATCCTCTTCCCTTTTAGGAAATTGTTTTGTGTTACGAATGTCGTCCCTCTCGTTCTTGCATTTGCATTGGCCGTTGATAAAATTGGCAGCAGCATGGCACCTCTCGCTCCCATCGTCAGGTCTCACGTTAGGTGGTGAACCTAGCAATAGTTTAAGTAGAAGAAGATGATTTTCATAGAATTACCAAAGATAAATATTAGAGAGGCAGAACAAAATTTTGCAGTTTAGCATTTCTAGTCAAGCATTTAGACGTTTAGTATATTCTTCTTAGAGCAAGACGCTGTACAAAATAGCCCAAAAATACTTACTGTTACATGAAAAAATACCAATTATCTTCCTCAATACTTAACCGTGAGCAATCAGACTTGGCATATGGTTCAGTACGATCGGTACGAATTGAAATTGAGAGCTATCACTCGATGTGCCCTCCGACCTTCACGACCGCCTTCATACCTTCAGGGTACCAGTTGAAAACGGACCGCAGGTATTTGACTTCATCCCTTACCCTCTTCAAAGAAGACTTGAACGAGTCAAAACTTCTGTTGCGAGTAAAGCAGGCCTTCTGCTCAAGCACCGCCATACCGAATAGTCCAGTGGGTTGAGGTAGGACGATATGTACGAGCCATTCATTGAGTGAAGGCTGGCAGCCTGGGTCTACCGAGACTCGTGCTCGGAATACCCAGGTTGGTTTATAGAGTGTGCCTGGCTCCGAGGCAATAACTCCTTCTCCAAGACGTGCTCGATGTAGTGGTTCGTGACGATCTTCACGTCGGGATCGACGAAAATGAGTGGTTATCTCCCGATAGCGCACACTCCGGTCATTACTCATACTTCATATCACCCTGGCAAGGTGAGAGATCTAAAAGACGACCCCCCCTCCCCAGTACAGTCTGCTGAGGGGATTAGGCGAGCATCCTCGTGTTCGCCGCTGCCTCTACGGTAAACAGCTTCTCGTCGGAGAAGACGGTTACCATGCGCTTCCCGGCAACGGTCCGCGCAAGCATGGCCCGACATCTTGCGTGCATACAGCCTTATCCTTCTCCTAAGGCCATGGCACGTTTTGGTCCTGTGAGGATGGAGCCCAAGGTGGTCGTGACCAATCTTGTGTTGTGGATTGTCGCAAGACCTTAAGCTCTGTTCATTTTTCGCAAGCTGCGACCAGGATCCCTGCCGATGGGCTTCTCGACGGCTCTAGGGATCGCAGAAGTCGTTGCGTCGTTGCGATGCATGGTCACCAGTCTTACAGACCGAGACGGTCACCAGTCTTACAATCAGAGGTACTGATGAAAACATATCACTTTCCAATAATAATACATCAGATTTTAGTATATCGAGTCTAATGTGTAATACTACTCGGTCAACGTTTTGTAACAACAATTTTGGGCGACCCTGTTGGGTGGGAAGCTCGACCATACTTAAGAATTCAAAGTTGCAACATAAGAAAAATGCCGAGATGTGTTAAGAATCGAAGTTGGACAGTCTGTGTGTTCGAGTAGATCTCCAACCGGTTTCTTTTTCATTTCTTCTTTCTTTCTCCATGTATCTCCATGCTTGCAGGGCATGTACCTACTTTTTGAAAATATGTCAGAGACACGTTTCCATTTCTTGTCGACTTACTTCTTCCTATCTAGGCGCACCTATTGTGAACTCAGAACATAGAACAAGCGAATTGTTTTCCTGAGAAATCTAGTGCATAAGTTAGCATCGAACAGTAGTTTTGAAAAGTTTTTGTTGCCCCCCATTATTCGCAATGCACCCTAGCTTGCTGCGATTAAGAATGCAGGCATGCCCTTTACAAAGAAGAGAATTAACAAAAAAAAGGAAATTAGCAACCAAATAACGGGAACTGTCTATACTTGGAATGAAATGAAATCGTATAACTAACCGAATGTGCAGACTACGAAATGACGTGCAATATTAGGTAGATCGATGAGACCCGCTTGCGTAAATCCCAACGCCACACGCGGCATGTCACCACACGTCCTATCTGGGAATCCGTCGGCCCAAAAGATGTCTTCTTTTGCCGTCTGAAAAAACATTTCCACGAAAGGTAAAACTCGAAGAAAAATGGAAGCAAAAGTTAAGTCATGCAAAGTTCTACTCCCACGAAAAACTCGAAAAATAAATGATGGCGAAACGCCCATTCCGTCACATATGTACCTACAAGTTGTCTTTCTACCCCCGAAATTATGAAAAGCTCACAATGTATAGCTGATACACAGAACACAGTGACTTCTACGCACCCTTTCATCTTAGTTTTGGACGGGTATTGCAATAGGGAAGTGCTGATACAATGATTGAGCAGTGATGGGCTTCCTCAGGGAACAGTCAAATTTGTATGAAATTGTTGGAAATTCCAGAAAGAGTTATGTCCCATGTTCGGCTTTCTATGAACCTCGTCATAACTATATCACAGGGTTTATTTTTGTCTTGAACTCTTCACGAGTTTTACAAACAAGCTTTATAAGAGCTTAGTCTCTTTAGGCGGAATCGCCTTCTTCAAAGCCGAAAGGATCATCACAATTTGTTTTTATCCATAAACCTCTCCTCCAACCCATTAAAATTCAAAATCCCCGGGCACGCACGCAACTGTTCGAAGAAAGAACCACTCACCGGAGCTTTGTGGATTCTCTGAAATCACCCAGCAAGTGATGGTACCAACCGACCATTGTCAGTTGGGGTTCGTCCTCATTAAAGTTTCTGCGGGAAAGCCAACCTTATACAAGGCCGTAGTTCTCTGCGTGATTGCCAGACATTCTTCTCTACGATTCATTATGGTATTGGTGACATGTTACAATCACCTTCCCTCCCGGCTAGACAAATCACACAGTTTGAGGTTGTACATAGGCGACCGTATAGCCTGTTCCAGACCTGGTCCGTCGTATAACAAGCTGCGTGGATGGTCATACCGGAATGCATGGTTTCTTAATACCACTCTGGTGCAGCTCCCAACTTCATTTCTTCCCATCTCATTAACATCCAAATGCTTTTGGATCGCCTTCCCGCGCTGCACCCCAGTGGTTCGTGCGTTATAGAATCCTTTGACGTAGAAGCTACAAATGTCAGCAATGGGTCTGCTATGGAATCTGTATTCGGGCTCCTTAATCAGCACCAAAACGACATTGGTATGCGAGGGCTGTTTATATCCCAACTGATGGCACTTGTGAAGGAGTGCCTCAGTTGTAACATTTTCAAGTGGTTGGGAAGGTATTTCGCACAGACTAGAGGCTTGGCTATGGGGCAGCGATTCGCGCCTGTTTTGGCCATATCGCTTATGGCCAAAATTGAAGCGCCTCTGCTGGAATATCTGCCCTTACCTTACTGCAGATACATCGATGATCGCTTCATAGTCTGTGCGAAACAGGACGAAGTAGATGTGCGTCTCAGCCTACTAAATTAAGAAACATAGCACATTAAGTTATCACGGGAAAAAGAGACCGCAAAATGGCTTCCTTTCTCAAACGTTCAAGTTAGCTACGGGGCGATATG